ATATGTCAATCTGTAATTTGTTGCTTAGATGTTAGTGTATTGGTAGTTACAGCTGTGCAACAGTGCTAGGGGTTGAGCCTGATCCATTGGAGAGTCTCAGTGGGCACTTTCATCCTAAGGCACTTACTGAAGGACCTTCACACAACAGTGATAGGTACCAAACCCAACTGATCTGGAAACCTCAACACAAAAGCACAAGAATCATGAGACAGCAAGACAACAAGATGCTTCCAAAATTCATAACTCCCCAAAAGCTGATTTCACTAATACTGAAGTGGATGACTTTTTGAGTAATTTTTTAAACTGGTGTTTAAAATGATGGATGAGCTAAAAGAAGACGCAAATAAGCAGTTGAGCAATTTAAAGAAGACCAGGAAATATGAAAGCCCACTTCAGTGAAGAGAGAGATTCTGAAAAGGAGCCAAGTAGAAATCCTGAAAATAAAAAGTGTAACTAGTAAACAACTCAATTGAAAATCGCAGCAGTTGGATAGATGAATAAGAAATATACAGGTTTGAAAGCAAAGTGGATTTGCTAGAACAGTGAGTAATTTTTTTAAAAGAGTAAGATTATAAAATAATAAAAAAATAAAATAATATTCAAGAGTTCTTGGAGAACACTAAAGACCATGTTTAAGATTCATCAGCTTTGGCTGCGTCGGGCATAGGAGAAGATGGCGGTCTCCACAGGAGTTAAAGTTCCTCGTAATTTTCGCTTGTTGGAAGAACTTGAAGAAGGACAAAAAGGAGTAGGCGATGGTACAGTTAGCTGGGGCCTTGAAGATGATGAAGACATGACACTTACGAGGTGGACAGGCATGATCATTGGGCCACCAAGGACAAATTATGAAAACAGAATATATAGCCTGAAAGTAGAATGTGGACCTAAGTACCCAGAAGCTCCTCCATCAGTTAGATTTGTAACAAAAATTAATATGAATGGAATAAATAATTCCAGTGGAATGGTGGATGCACGCAGCATACCAGTGTTAGCAAAATGGCAAAATTCGTATAGTATTAAAGTTGTACTTCAAGAGCTAAGACGTCTAATGATGTCCAAAGAAAATATGAAGCTTCCACAACCACCAGAAGGACAAACATACAACAATTAGTTTTAGTGGATCTCAAACTTGTCTTAAATCAACAACCTTCTACTCATATTAATGTCTTGATTAAATATCACAATGCAAAATACCCACACATTAATTAAAAGAATTCTAGCTGATAAACATGACCTGGACATTTGTCAAAATATATTTAATAAATGTTCACCCATTATGTTTTCAGGTAACAGGAAAATTGCAGCACAATTGTTCTTTCTCTTGTTGAGGCACTGTCATTTAAACGTGATCCTGGAGTACTCCATATAGGTTCGGGTTTACAAGATGAAAGCACGGGAAGAATTGTCAGATGTCAGTGGAAGCGAGTGTTTCTGAAAAGTAAAATCTCAAGAAGGAAAAACAAATGGCATGCTTATCCATCTCACTTAGTGAAAGCTGCAGCTTGAAATTGTTCAGAGTAGCAGGTACAATGAATATTGTCACAAATTGTGTTAATCTTTGAAGCAGTGTGGGTGCTGACTACTAGTAGTATCAAAAATATGTTCAGGATTGTTTTGATACCTGTATTTATAATAAAAAAAGTTGGGGGAGTGTGGATGAATTTCTGTCAAAAGCTGTTCCTGTGTGTTACATGTAACAGACATGGTAAATATTTGTTTACAGTCTTTGTTAAATAAACCATGCATTTACGTTTAGGTGAAATCAACAAAAGGAAATAGGTATATGGATATGTGATTTTGAGATTAGTCTTAAAATGTAAATAAAATGTAGAATGTGTCCTCAAAAAAAAAAAAAAAAGATTCTTCAGCTTCAAGGAGGATGAAAATGTAGAGACTAATAGAATAGAAAACCTTTTCACTGAAATTACAACAGAAAATTTCTGCTATTCTGGAGAATGAGTGAATATCCAGGTGCTGGATGTAACCTAGAGCCCCAAATAGACATGAACAGAGAAAAAACTTTCTACAACTTACCATAGTCAAGTCACCAAAAATTGAGGTAAAAAAATATTGAAAGCTATTAAGAAACATTAAATCAGGCAGGACACACCTGTAATTCCCACACTCAGGAGGCTGAGGCAGTAGGATCGTGTTAAGTTCAAGACCAGCCAGGGCTACAAAGTAAATTCAAGTCCAGCTTGAACTGCATAGCAAGACCCTAATTTTAAAAACGTTAAGATACACACCTATAATATTCAATAACGGAACTTAGAAAAAATGGGGTATACAGATGAATGTCCATTTTGTATCTGTGTATTCAAAGTGGTTGGGATAGATATATAGTTACATTCTGTTAATGAATAGAATGATTTGTTCTAATGGTGTTTGTAAATAGGATCACAAGTCCGCATCTTGTACAGCAATTAACCACTAAGAAGAATATATGCAGTGTATTATTTGTTGAAAAATAAAAAATAATAATAATAATAAAAATGTTAAGATAACTCAGTGGATTAAAGCACCTCCTTAAGCAGATGCAGGGAGGGAGGTTCAATCCCTGGTATGCCACACCGAACCCACCCCCAGGGTGCTCTGATTGAGACTAGGTATGAATTTTTTCAAAATGCCAAATCATAATGCCAATCTTATCACAATAACAGCAGATTCCTCAAGAATAACTGAAAGACAAGAAGACTTGAAACAATGTAGTTTAACCCCTGAAGCAAAATAAATGCTGACGTAGATGAATAAATCCTAAAGAAACTCAGGAACATTAAGCCAACACTGTAGAAAAAGGATTCTTAAATCCTTTTTAAATTCTTAAATCCTGGCTCAGTGGAATAAGCACTTCCCTGGCAAGCGCAAGGGCCTGAGTTCAATCCCCCGTTCCGCAAAAAAAAAAAAAAGAGAAAATCACAACCATAAGACCAAGGGAAAGAATAAATTTTATTGAAAGAATTAGAATCAGGAATGAGTCAGAAGACACAGGTACAGGCAAAGACTGGACAAAACCCAATCACAAAGAAGCAACAGTTGGGATCTGATCTTATTTAAAAGCTTTTGCACAGCAAAAGAAACCAACAGTGAAGAGAGACAGTTCACAGTGGGGAAAAATGTTGGCCAGCTGTTCCTCAGACAACTAATATCTACAATATATAAAGAACTCAAAAAAAATCAAAATCCCCAAATTTAAAGACCCAATCCAAAAATGGGCATCTGAAATGAATAGGTATTTCTCAGATGAAGTAGTAGAGACAGCAACTAAATTGGTGAAAAGATGTTTAATAATACTGGTGGAAATTAAAACAACACAGATTACATCTCCAGAAATAATAGCTCTTATCAAGAAATCAATAACGAGTGCTGGTAGGCTGTAGAGAAAAATGAACGCTTCTTCACGATTGATGGGAGTGCAGACTGGTACAACTACTGTGAAATTCTGTGAGGCGTTTTCTCAAAAAACTAAAATTAGAGTTTCATTTGACACAGCTATTCCCCTTGTCAGTATTTTCCAAAAGAATTAAAAAGCATGGTACCACAGCAATATATGCACACCCATGTTTATAGCAATACAAGTTATAATAGCTAAATCTTGGAAACAGCCCAAGTGCCCAACAACCAATGAATGGATAAGTGTCTTTTTTTATACAATAGTAGTATTACTCTCTCATAAAGAATAAACTTGAGACATTTCTACATAAATTTCTTTGAGACCATACTCAAGTGAAATTAATCAGACACACATTCAAATATCACATAATTTTTCTGGTGTAAGAAACTGAAATTGTAAATGTTCAAGTGGGAAGGGGAACTAGGGGGAGGAGGAAGTAGAGAATAGGAAAGAAAACTGGAAACAAAGCTTTTGCAAAGAGGACAGGAAAGGGAAATAATGAAGCAAGATAGAGTAAGCACAATACAAACTCCAGTGTGATTAGTTGTTATCATTATGTATATCTAAAATGTACCAATAAAATTAACCTCAAAAAAAGAATAGTTGGTTTGTCTGATCTCCACGACCAACTAAACAAAAGGATCAATGAATCAGAGTTGGGTCTTTGAAAAGATAAAGAGGCTTAATTAAACCTTAGCCAAACTTACCAAAAGAAATGAAGTCAAGTTAATAAGAGACAAAAATGACTTAAGTTACAGAAGACACCACTGAAATCCAGAAAATACTTGGAAAACTTATATTCCAAAACCTTGAAGAAATAGATAAATTCTTACATGTGCATAAATTCTTACCAAAATAGGATCAAGAAGATATTTAAAAATCTAAATAGAGTAATACCAAACAGTGAAACTGAAATAGCAGTAGAATATCTCCCCACTAAAAAGCCAGGGCCTTTAAAGAGCTAAGACCAGTACTCCTCAAAAGTTTCCATAAAATGGAAGAAGTGCTTCCAAATTTATTCTGCATAGCCAGCATTAACCTAATACCAAAACCAAATAAAGCTTCAAACAAAAACAAGCTTAAAAAATATATTGGGTAGTTAAGCCATCTTGATTAATATAAATATAAAAATCTTTAATAAAATCATTGCAGAGAGATCTCAACAGCCTATTAAAAAGATGATACATGATCAAGCTGATCCCATCCCATGGCTTCAGGATGGCTCGATACATGTAAACCAGTAAATGTAACACATCACGTGAATAGAATCAAAGGTTAAAAAAAGAATAATCTCAATAGATGCAGAAAAAGTCTCCCATAAAATTAAATATCCCTTCATGATAAAAAATGTTTAAGCCCTGAAGAAAATAGATATAGAGAGATCTTTCCTAAATTGATAAAAGCTATATAACAAACCCACAATAAACATCACACTGAATAGGGAATAAAAACATTTCCTTTAAAATCAGAAATGAGACAAAGGTATCCACTGTCACCACTTCTGTTCAATATGATACTTGAACCTAAAATCACAGCAGTTAGGCAAGAGAAAGAAACAAAAGGAATTATCCCTCTTTGCAGATTGTATGATTTTTTATATAGAAGACCCAATACTCTGCCATATGCCTCTTAATTAAATCTGATAAACTCAGACTAGTGGCAAGAAAAAAATCAATACAAAACCAGTAGCTTTCCCATTTAGTAATAATGCATCTACCAAGAAAAAAGTCAGGAAAACAATTCCATTCACAATACCTTCCTTAAAAATGTCAAGGAATCAACTTAACCAAGAAGGTGAATGACCTCTATAACAAAAAGTACAGAGCCCTGAAGAAAGCAACTGAAGGAGACATGAGCAAATGGAAAGCTCTCCCTTGGTCATAAATCAGTAGAACTGACATTCTTTAAATTGCCATATTACAAAACATCTTCAGACGCAATGCAATCCTTTTAAAATATCAGGAACATTCTTCACAGAACTAAAAAAAAAAAATCCTAATACTCATATGGAGGAACAAAAGACCCAGAATAGCCTAAGGAGTTCTGAAAAATACTGTGAGCATCACAATACCTGACTTCAAATTCTACTACAAAACCATAGTAATAAAAACAACATGATACTGGTGCAAAAACAGACATGTAGACCAATGGGATGGAGCAGAAGACAAACCCATACACCTACAACGATCTGTTATATTTTTTACAAAAGAGCCCAACACACACACACACACACACACACACACACACACACACACACACAAATGATGCTGGGAAAACTGGATCTCCACATGGAGAAGATTGAAACTAGATGCCTCGCAACCTGTACTAAAATTAAACAAAATGAACTGAAAATCTACATATAAAAACAGAAATTTTCAAGCTGCTGAAAGAAAAACCAGGGAAATAGTTAATACCATTGGTACAGGCAAAAACTTACTGAGTAGAACCCCAATAACAGGAAATCACAGCTTCTGCACTGCAAGAAAACAATGGAATGAAGAGACAACCTATGAAATGACAGAATATCCTTTGCTATCTACTCTTTTGATATAGAAATAATATCTGGAATATACAATGATTTAAAAAATTAATTCCTCCCTTAAAAGCCAAATCAATAAATAGACAAATGAATTAAATAGGCATTTCTTTCTCTCTCTCTCTTTTTTGGTTAGGCACTTCTTAAGAAATATAAGTAGCCAATAAGTACATGAAAATGTGTTCAACATGTTTAGCTCTTCAAGAAATGCAAATCTAATCTACACTGAGAACAGAGTAAAAAGAAAACTTATGAACTGAGAAAAATTA